GAGGGGGGTAACGCAGGCCTATCTCTTGCAATAAATAATATCCCCCCAAAACCCCAAAACCCCGCTACACATAATATAGAAGTGAAATGAAAATTTGAAAATTATGAGTAATTGAGTCATTTATATATAATTGAATAATTCTGGATTGATCTATATCTATGTCATGATTATTGTGATGAGGTCACAATTTACAATAAACTCAAAGCAGTTGATAGTAAACTAGGATTGTTCACTATAAGCTGCCTTCAAAGCATGTTCATTCAAACAAATCAGAACTTTTTCTAACATAATTACACTCTTCAAACTCCAAACTTCTAATTCTATTAAACATATTTAGGTACGTCTAAGGTCTGAACTCTCTCCCTAAGATGGTCCATATAAACCAAAATCTATTGGGAAAGCCAGCCAGGTCATGATGGTCGCTCATTCTGAGAGAGGTGTAGTACCAAATGCCTCTCTCAAACTCTAGTTGAATTCGACTGTCAATCTTTGCATCAAAGTATATTGGATCAGATTTCTAGCCCCAAGGCTTATTTTTGCCTGCTTTGCTCTAGAAATTTGTTGCCATTCTTGGAAACTCCTGGGTCCATCGAGGAAGAATCATGTCACTATCGCCAGTAATATCTCTATTGGCCCAATCCATAGCTGTTGCATTGTTCATATTTGGATTTAAGACGTTATTGAGATGATTAGCTGGACACTTGATGTGTAATTGACTCTCAAAGAATACTTTGTTGTTGATTGAAACAACATTGCTTAGCACTTTGATCAGCATCATGAACTTTTCAAAATAACTAGGGGAGGTTGGTGGCCTCCTGGGCATCTTCTAGATCTTCTCGGTATATCTCAAATTTGAATCAACATCAATGTCAAATCCCATTCCCATCTTCGAAGCTTACTTTGGTTCATTCATTACCTCTCTCTGCTTCATCTTATACTTGTCTCTAACACTAGCTGCATAAGAGAAGTAGTAAGTTTTGTTGTTCATTGCTGAGGTAAGCTTGGCATTTACATCTTTCATGTGATGAGGACAAAATTCTGGTAGAGCGAAGTCAGTGTTACCATATAAAGACTCACTTTTCATGACTCTCATAATATAGGCAATAATACCTTCTCCTTTTCTTCTGTTATGACCTACTGTTTCACTGTTGAAATCAAAGAAAAAGTATGGCTACTTTCCAAGTTCATATACCACTTCATTTTTATCAAAGTGTTAGGATGTTCTGATAACAGACTTGATTTACTCTCTGTCAACGTTGAGAGTGCCTGAACCCTGAACCAAATTTTGTAGAATTGTAAAAATTTTACAGCCTTCGATGAACCAACGATCTCTAAAAGTGCCACTTTGCTTTGGACCTGCGAATGTCTCCTGATCGTAATTAAAATCAAACATGTAAGTAGCTATCCCTCCGTTAAGAACTGGATTAACAGCATTGATCGAAGCAAACCAATCGCTCTTGTCTCCTTTTGGACTAGTCCCATCGTTGAAGTAATCTATCTTCATCAAATACTAGAGATATCTAACAGTTTACCCTCCTTGACTGTGTCCTACGAAATGAATCTTTTGAGATTTACTCCAGCCGCCAGGTATTCCATTAGGGTAACCTAGTATCTTTCCATTTTGTGTTCTTCTCAGGTAACGGGGCTTGTAGTAAGACTCATGATGCAGCTGGTCAAAGTGGTCTTGCCCGTAAACCTGCTGGGCCAATTCTAAACCATTTTGATTAGCTAATTATTGCGTTTAGAATATTCCTATTAATTACTAATATAGCTCACATGCTCTGTCATGGAGACTTGCCCATGGAGAAACATCAGCTTAGTAAATTACATTTTCTCCCTGTACATCAGGGTAGGAAGCATAACCAAAATAATCACCGAACAAGAAGGCTGACTCGTCTGGCACCCATCCTCCAAATCCATGAACCAAAATTATAGGGTAGTCATTTTTCCATTGATCTTTAGGTAGATTTTTGAATTCAGATAACGCCCGTTGTTTTCTCAACTTATATGCTTTCATTATGACTTTCAGCCCAAAAGACATTGTCAATGCAAGCATAGTCAAGTTTGAATTGTTTCTAATCTTAGATGGTGTTGGTGGAAGTATATTCTTTGCAAATTTAGTATCTTTGAAGGTGTGAAATAAAAATATGACGACTTAGATCGATTATATATTCATTTGATGATATAGATAAAAATTTATATATAAAATCAAACACATCTGAACATCTGCCCCTGATTTAAAATAAAACATACTGCATCTTATAATGATGTCACTATAAGATACATACGGGGTTTTGGGGTTTTGGGGTTTTGGGG